ACTCCAGTCATCAGACTCCCATCTTATGTCTAACATTGAACATTTCCAAAATGTACATTTTCCACAATAGAAAGTGTTTCAAGAAACCAGATTTAAGCAGTTAAAGAATCATTGACAAGTAAGTAACAAGTTTTAGAGAAATATAGCAAAGCAAGCCCCTCATTAATTATTGCAGTTATGACATGCATTAACAAGACATTGCATACATGCACTATTGCAGCATTGGTCAGTGCACTTAACAAAGGAAGAAAATAAAGAAAACTAGACTGAATAAGAAAGATGGCATATGCCATGAAACCTGCACTGACCGTAACAGTTGTAAAGACAGACAGAAGCGGGAAAACAGCCTTGACCCAGCTAGAACCTGGCAAAGCACAGGAAACAAATCCCATCCAACACAAGGCCAAACACAAAATCAAATAGGGAAGGGGATTGGTTATTAGGTTATGAGAATGAATTGCAAAGATAACGTTAAAAAGTTAAAAAGATTACATTATTGAAAACAAAAAAAGCTGTTATCAAATATTTTAATTTTACATGATGAAATCATGATATAAAAAAAGACAAACAAACATCACAGTTTGATTTTAGTAAAAAAATTAATCATTGATTTAAAATTATTACATTAAGCTACATGAAACACAGTTAATAAAATAGATAATGGAATGCAAAGAATCTGAGCTCTGATTGTTTGTTGTCGTGAAATTTTCTGTTAATTTTGCAAGTATTTTTAATCAAAACAAAGCAAYATTTTTTATATAACAAAATTAATAATTGTTGGTGTTCCAACAATAGAATTCTGCCAAATTATAATTGAAACAAACAGACAGCAGTGTGTCACTGAATTATAAATATCCAATCTAACAGAACATCACTGCCGCTTGATACTGGTTTCAAAATGTGGGGTTATCAAACCAGCCATCACAGAACATCAATAAACATTTGACTAGATATTGAGCAGATCAAGTTCAATATCTAATTTGTGACCTTGATTAATGAACATGAGGAAAGCATCCCATTTACAAACTCTATCTATCCAGTGGGGAAGGCTTAATTTGATATTTATATGGCTTACTGTCTCTATTCTGAATCTGTATTAAACTCTTGCTCACATAATGAACAATCGCAAAGATGTTTTAAAGTGGGAATCTTCACTGCATCCTGGTTGTGGTGCAGATGCTAACTAAGCATATTTAATCCAATTTTTGTTATTAATTTGGGCAACAGAGCAAAGATCGGTAAATTTATGATGGATCTCATCGATGACAGACAAGTGAAATAAAGACAATTTATCTTCTAATATATATTAAATGACATTTATACCAAACAAGTCTGAACTACTAGTGAATAAAATAAAAGATGAGAGGACAAAATGATGAGTATGGGTTACAAAGCACAATAAAGTAAGCCCCTATTATTATATAATGTCTCACTATTAAGAAGTACATTAATTAAAAGTTATTTTCAAGTTGTCTAAATATTTAAAACAATGAATTAAGTAACTTACTTTGAGTAGCCACGGCTTGGACGGCCACTCATTGAAGGTCCTCCTTGTTGAAGGGATTTTAATTTACTTGGTCTGAAAATCAATATAGTTCAAATATTCAGAAGAATTCTCTGCATTAAATATCATAATAAATCCAAATAAACATAAACTATTAAAACTTTGATAGGCCTTTTTTATTACCAACAATGAAGATGAGTAGACCTATAATATTGATAATAATTATAACTATTTACAATAATCCACCTATCCAGATCTGCCCATAGGTGCTTGATAATTTAAAAAAACCAGCAAGATAAAGTATGACATTAAGTTACAATTGGCCACTTTAGAAATGAGTGAAGGACTAGGAAAAGTGGTATTGATAATTAATCTTCAGAGCACATCAAAACTAACAGGTTTCTGCAGTGTGGCTTTGGTTGGCTAAGTAACAGCTAAATTATAAACAATCAAAAATTACAAAGAATCACYAGTACCATACATTTCTTTGAAATTTTGTAGATGCTTGGAAGGTTGCTATGCACAAGGTATGATATGTATAAATATGGATATTAAATATATATATGTTTCTAAAGTGGCCAATAGTAATAAAATAAAATAATAATAAATAGAGTTTAGGAGCAGATATGGAGAACAAACAATGACCATAACATTTGACATGTTGGTAGTCTTGAGTAGCAAATCAGATCATGATTGGAATCACATTAATTTGAAGTGATTTGAAATTAATTATAAGGATCTTGTACTTTCCACAATATTTAGCAAAAACAAATATAGAACACTAATGTATGATCTCTAGTTGCAAACAGCTCATCTAGTGCTCCTGATCCAATCCCCCCCCCCACCATGTCCCTTTAATGATGTATGTGGAGTACTCACGTTGGAATGAATCCAATATCACAGCCTTCTTTGACAACACGCCCTATCCACCAATCATCATTAAATTTCTGTTTAAAAAAAACAAGCAAGAACGTAACTTAAATTCATTTATAAAAATAGATAGAGGCCCCCAGATTAAATAATGAGCTGCTTTAAATGAAGATTAAGTTCTGTAAATAATAATAAATAATAATGATAACTTAATCAGTAAATAAATACGACCATTGACATAATATGCTTAATTACTTAGAACATTGTTACTCAACTAGATTAGCTTTTAGTTATTATGAGTAACATTTACTTATTATTTGTATAATTTTTCTAATTAACTTGTAATAAATTGTAAATATTTATAACAAAAAGTAACAAATTTGTTGTTTGAACTGCTTTTATTAAGGTTTACATGAACATCAAAGGTGAATAAATCATTTTCTTTCACTGAAATTCTTCCTTTTAGTTTACTAGCCATAAAATAGGTTTACTGCAGCTTGCAAAAAAAATATGAAGTAGGATAGCATGCTTGGCATATGCTGTTGTTTCACCTTTCACCACTGTGAGTCCAAAGGTTACGGGTCACAGGTTCGAGCCCTGTGGACACCATAATATGTACATACATACAGTGTACATATTATGTGAAAAAATATAAGGGTTTTCCCTGGGTTCTCTGGTTTCCCCTCTCCATAAAAAAATTAAAATGCAAGTTGAGCATTATGTGTACATAGAACATTGAATGTAGTGGTAGTGTGCGTGAGCAAAAAGTTCCCAATTAGTGTGAAAGCACTAGAATGACTAGACTCCTAAATAAAGTGATTTTATGAAATTAAATGAAGTTTTTTTGAAATGAAATCCTTTTTTTTTTTTTTTTTTTTTTTTTTTTGAAGAACTGCAACTACATTAAGCTTCATTTCACCTTCTGCATTTTGTAAAATGAAATTATTACATTTAATAAAATGAAGGAAGCCTGGCAGTATTATAATAGGGAATCATGGATGGCATGTGCTGCTAATGTGCCAASCAATGTGACCTGGATTGAATTCTTGGGCTGAGTTTCCTGTGAGAAGAGTTGGTTGTTTGTTCTCTAGCTCTTGTTCTTCAAGAGTAGTTCTCCAGTTTCCCTCAATAGGGTCGTATTCCAGTATTATAACCAGAAGTGGTAAACGCCATTATTTTTTTTAAAGTTTTGTGAAATAAAATCATCTTGTTTTTGCAAAAATCAACATTAGGGTGTTCTCTTCAGAAAGTTCAAATTCATTTGGTATAAGCCTTACAAAAGAAACTGCAGTTTGCTAAATAAAATYATTTTATTTTCTTAAGTGAAGTCTTGCAATGAAATAACCAAAATGGAAAATTTAAAGTCTTTGAAATAATTTGAAGTACCTCTTTTACATGCAGAAAATCCTTGACATTAAATGAAACTGCAGCACCATGTACTGGTGAATCATCATCTTCACTGCCCTCATATGCAATATTGGTGCGAACAGCAAAAGCTACTGGTTTGGACTACAAGRAATAACATTTTTATCATTGTCATTAAACCAACAATAAAGGTATAGTATGGTAAAGCGGAGAGTATGTTTCAAAAGAACAAAATCTTACCCTGGCAGCTTGCAGAGCTTCCCAAGCTCTCCTTTCAAGTTCTCTTCTAGAAGTTTCTCTATCTTCGTCTACACTACTGGTATCTGAAGCTCTATATGCAGGCTCTGAGTCCTAGGTAACAATAGTAATACAATGTTGAAGAAATTGAAGTCTTCAAATACATCAGGATTTTTTGGGGGGCTAAAAAAATACATATATAATATGTATATTTTCTAGAACAAGCATGTACTATAATAATAAATAGGTCAAATAATGAACATTATCAAACCCAGCCATTAATGTTTTATTATGCTTCATAAAATTATTTAAGAAAACTCATGAAATTTCTTATTATTCAGTTAAATTTCAATACAATAATTGGATTTTTTTTGTTGGGAAGAGTAGAAAAATGTTCTGTGTTCATAACTTGACTAGTCAAGAAACCATACAACTTTTTAAACCAACAAGACAAATAAAGAAAATGCAGTAGTACCAGTCACAGCCTGTTAATAAGAGAATACAATAACAAACAAACAAAAAAGAATTCCAGGCATCTTTGGAAAAAAGCAGCAGAAATGAATACAATTTTTAATTTAAGAAGGTAGTTTTGTACTAACTTTTTCTTAAACTTCAAGAATATACAAGTGCAGTAAGTTGTATAATACAAAATTGTCAAACTAAAGATTTTAAAAAAACACTTTAAGAGAAATATTATTCATGATATGGCTGTCATCAATCTGTTAAACTTCATAAAGGATTTCTTACCAATAATTTGTCTCTGTCAGAAGCTTTCATGGATGGGGTAAATATAATTGGTCTCATACACAGCCCCTGATATCTACAATCCACTACATCTATCTGTCTCCTGGCAAGAAATGCTTATTCTACCACTTAAACTAATGCTGCCAGTAGACATGGAACTATACTGAATATATTATTGGATCACTAAGATGGAAAACACATCCTCGATTGTCACCAGTAGCTAGCAGTCAAGGAAAAGAGATGTGATTTCATATCATTATCGCCCACAACATTATATACAGATACAAGTGATTAATACTTAACAATGTCTTAACATCACTGAGGGTGTTTGGAGTTTAATGAGGTCTGCTGATCAGTACACAGGATGCATATGATAATCACTCCCAGATACTGAATACCCTTAGACAATAGAACACAGGACTAACCCAGGCTCCAGTTACAATTCATAACAAATTTTAGAAATGTATTTCTGATTTTCCCCCAAATAAATCAAGAGAAAGTTTTGGCTCTCTAAATTAATACGTTGGATTTATTTATACATTACATTTTTTAGGAAAAAAAACTTTTGCATTTTTGACATGGTAGCCCTATTCAAGTCTCTATCCCAAACTATGAAAAAATGTACAAAATTCCAATCTTGGTAAGTATTGATCATAATTGCTACAAAATGCCTATTACAAATATTGGGGAAAAAAAAAATTAAATGTGAGTATAATCTAATTTATTTAGTGGTTGAGAGGAAATATAGATAGTGTTTGGCAGATACAGCTTCACACCTCCATTATCATTGGGGATTGGTGGATTTTCTTAATTTAAGTGATAGAAAATCATTCAAAAAAATTAATTTCGAAAATAGGGTTTCCTTGTAAAAACATTTACTTTATCTAGTAAACTGAAGCTAGTAATCCACATGTAATCACACATGCAAAAGTTTGCTACAGATGATGCTTRCAACTCCCCAATTAAAGGCTAGTTCAAAGCATATTTTAATTTCTATTTAATCTCTACACAGAAACAAAATCAAATCTCACATGCTTTCATCATTGCAGATGAAGACCCTGTCTGTCCAACATTTATTATAAATGATATATACAATATGACAAGGGTATACCATGCACGTCATATGAATGGATGTTTTCTTAGTCAGTAACATACATGCCATTAAAGAATGAATGTCTTATTGATACTTCTTTTGCACCTGTCATTCACTGCTTAGCAGTTGAACTCCTCTGCACACAATAATAGATCTTAACAATGAGAACAAGTCCAAATTTTTAAAACTTTACCACAAAAACCCCTACTGGAATAATCTACAGCCATGTAATAATTCATAACATAATATGCAAATAACAYCATCCTCTGAAAACTAAAGATCAAAAACTAACAAACTTGTACCTGTATCACACAAAAATGATGGGGTTTAAAAAACAGAAAAATAATCCAAGGTCATACAATACAACCTCTGATCAATAAAAAATCTTGTCAATAAAATTCAATAATTTTTTTGAACCTATTAAATTAGAAAAAGGAAAACATTCAAGAAACCACAAGCAATATTGAATCTCTCCACAGTAAATATCAATTGAAAGGAAGTGTATAACATTCTTCAAAGTATTGATTACTACTAATAGTACTACTAATAATAACAAATATTAAACTGTTGAGGAAAAATGTGTAAAAAATGGAAAAAAGACATGGTAAGAATTTTTCATTTATGCAAATAACACTTTGCCCCTAAAACTTTCTTTATCATTAATTATTAATAACCTAAAGCTGAGGATAAAAAGTAAAAACCTGCTTTTATAATATGCATGCGGAAATGTTATTGAGGTTGTCATATGTGAAATATTTGACTTCAAAATATTCACATTTTTAACTCCATATGTTAAGTGAATGGTATAAAACAGTACTGAATTCAATTTCTTTGCTTAAAATGTAACCAAGTTAAACTTAAATTTAAAATATCTGAATTTAAACACATAGGTGTAGTGATATATCTTATGGCTTTAGCACACAGATGATTCTGTAATCAAACACTTTTAAAATAAATGGCAGCCATAAACATTCATATATACTGCAGTTTTTGAACTTTCCTGTGCCAAAGAAAACATACCAGCTGTACATTCATTTGAAGACAATTTCAATCAATCTCAAAACAATTTCATTGGTCTCTAGGTGTGATATAAGATGAAAATCTAAAAGCCAGATTGATTCTGAGTTAACCTATGTCTTATAAGTAAAATCTTAAGTGTTTGTCAGTGTATAAAAACATTGTTTAAGATGAGATGATAAGATACTACATGCAAAATGTAAAGAAAATTCATTAAATAAAAATTATCACTTTGAGCCCTATTTACATTATATACAAGGAGAAATATCTTGGATACAGAGAAACCCTGACCTATTTATATCRTATAGTGATCAGAAAAGAGAGAGAGATAGACAAGTTACAGTTGCATGTACATGAACATGTAAATTACTAAATGAAAAAAGTCAAATGAGAAAGTAGTATGTCCCCATTAAATACTCACTAAAAGCTGATCTTCTAAGTAGTTATCATCCCAGTTGTCCCATGCTTCAGTAAAACTATATGCATCTTCCATCATAAGGATACTAAAATCATGGTTTGACAGTAGCTTTGTTAACCCCATCAAACCTTGAAGACTATATCACCATGATCCACTAATAAGCAGTTACATATAAAACCATGATTTGCTCATCATATTAAAAATACTCCAGCTATGACATCACAATTGATTGCTTTTCCAAAATCCAAATATGGGCATATGCGAAGGACAAACGTCCAATTGATTTTCTCTCTCACTTCTCTCATGTGTGGTTCAATTTGTGGAAACACTTATCATAAATTACTTGTTCAACAAATTAAATATATATCATAATATGTAGATATAAAAATATTAAGATCCTAAAATGACTAGACATTTAAACTGGAATTCTCTGAGTACATTTCTAGTTATTAACACCTTTTAGCAAGTGACCTTTTAAGTATACTTCCTACACATCATATTTTACATATACTTTGCAGCTTATAAATATACTACTCGAAATGTAATTTGGCTTATTAATACATGTACCATATTGTAACTCTAAAATCTTATCATTACTTGTGGGTTACACACCATCAATAAAGTAATATTACTGCATTTAGACCTGACTTGCACATGAAAGGCTTGAAAGAAGGACAACAGCTAAATTCCATTACAACAATTGATTGAAACTCTATTTTTCTTTTTAACAGAAACCAACACTGATGGCACTGACCAAAGTCAGCAGGATGGTAACCACAAATATCGCTTACCTTTCATCATTAACAAAACATAGACATTAAAACTATTTTCCATACTACTTGGCCTGGGCTATGATGTTATCAATTTGCAGTTATCAGGCTTCAATAATCTAAGTGTCAGTCAAGTYAAAGTAGCTAAGGTTTTAATAACTCCACTACTGTCTATTATTTACATAGTTCAGTATAGTTTTTATTACGAGAATGTAATGATAAATATTACATTATGCTGAAGGATAGGGTGATGGCACTTAACCTGTGAAATAGATATTAGCCGAATACCTGTACCTTAGTAATCTTTGATTCCATGATTAATTTCTTCTGTTAAAAAATTGAATATTAGAATTTATTTGACGTGTTAAGTGCCATCACCCTACAATACCATTTCTAGAGACAACAATGAAACAAACTGGCATAATATTCAAAGTATTAAAATCATTCAGTCAATAGTCACTCATAATAAAGCTTTACCTCACTGAATTAATTATATTACTTGACATACTATAATTGGTTGGTGTAGCTGGCCTATCACAGTCCTATCTTGGCCGTCACCATCTCACTAGACATGCTTGACAGAACTGATAAATTTTTTATTCACATCACTTGAGACAAAAGAAACAGTATCTTTACAAAGAAATGTTGTATACCATAAGTTATCTACATAACTTGGATTGAATGGAAAAGTGTGATGGAATAAGAATATAAGACTACACAACACAGGCTAAAGAATACTGTATGTGAAGGTAAGACTCTAGAAATAAATACATGTGAAAATCAATCCACTTACTTTTGCAAATAAGGTCTCCCCCTTTTGTTGAGAAAATCAAAAAATTATAAAGTCAAGCATTTCATACTTCCTACAGTTAAGTAGGTAGCCTAAAATGCTTAATATCATACTACCACTACTCTACTACTGTAGTTACTGTACGTATAATACTTTACTAGCAATACAATGTAGAGCTCTGAAGACAATTTTGACTAAGATAATAAATGTTTTAAACCCCCCCCCCCCCCCAAAAAATAAGGCATTTAAAGATTCAAGTAGGTAAGTTTTACTCAAAGAAAACTAGCTTAATTCAATATTCAAGAAAAGCCTGACTTAATTTCATTCAATAAGCATCATTGTGGTAAAGATGATAAGTCGATAAGAATCAGAAATATTACCAACCATCACTATCACTATCTATTACTCTTGCTAAAAAAACATTTTCGACTTTTAATTCAACTTTTAGAGGTACATATTTCAGACTTGCAATACATTTTTCTGGGTAAACAACAGCAAAATCCACAGCTATTAAACAAATATTTCCATAGAAATTTATTTTATCGTAAATGGATCAGTAAAGAATTGAATAAAGAAGTTGGCATAACATACATTTTACCACCCTTGGTAATGGTATTTCATTTATACCAAAGATAAGAAAATATGGCATCTTACATTTGCCTCTTACTTAATGTAGTTTTTTTCGCAGTTTTTTCACTTTAGTAACAGTACTGTATTCCTTTCCAATCCCCAACAGCATATGATAGATGTGTTGATCATCACAGTGAATGAGCGATCTAAGCGAACGCTGTAAAGAAAGACTTGAAAAAATGATTTCAAGCTTCAACGGGAATCGAACCCATGACCTCCGTGATGCCGGTGCGATGCTCTACCAACTGAGCTATGAAGCCAATCCTGTGTAATAAGCATATATTCCAATTTGATCTGCGAGTTAGCTATGCCCTGAATGATCAGCCCAGATGTTGTTTCAGGGTTCAAACAAAGTAAGCGATTTCCTACCTTAGACCAGCCCAGTGAGCCTGTAGATACACAGGAAGTGATCTGCAGACACAGGAAGTGAACTGAATACCCCTAAGAATACAGTAGTATGTGTACTTTATAAGGTACAGTATGGTGTGAGTGTGGAAGTAACCCACACTTACTGTATTAATGCTTTTTCAATAAGATCAGGACATGTGAATATTTTGATCAAAAAATAATGATTTTCTGTTAGCAACATCTACTAGACTAGTAAAGTAATGTAAAATGTAAATCAATATTGCATAATTAATTATTAATGAACTGCTTCCTTCCACTATTTTCTTCTTCAAGTCCTTTTCTAGTTCAAGTTCAAAATCTTGCGATTGAAAGATTTGAATGGTTAAATGTCCAAAACAAGATCATTACAGTGTATGTTAACTTCAGCTGTCAGAAATTAGAACACTAACTATAGAAACTGCCAAAAGGCAAACTTTTCTYTTTATTGCCAAGGATTCCCTTTTCCATAATAGCCTTAGTATAGTAGTTTTTACTAGTCGTATACTATAAAACAGTCTTTCACAAGGAACATTACACTACTCACACCATCAAAAATAACACTGGACACTTTGTCTACTATGGTTAACTGTCTTAGTTTGCTGGCTTGAAGGTTTTAATGCTAAAATGGTTTTTCTTTCGAATTTAAAATGGCTAGATTTAAACACAAATTTAACAGCAATTTATCTAAGTTCTTAATTGTGCTAACAAACTATCAGACAAACTATTAAACCCTACCCATAATGTAATTGCTATAGACTACTAATAGTGATATGAAAATCTAATTATAAAACTTTCAGGAACAAAAACCCAAGATAAGAGTATTCTACATTCTACTCTAAAATGCAACCAACCATTGAATATCTTCATGACAAGAACTGGCTATCATAATGAATACACCTCACCCAGAAAGAATTCTGTAGTGAAATAGATATTCACTACACTGTAGTATTTTAGAATGATTTGAAAAGCATCTCATTTAAATTTTTAGTGCTAATATTCCCTAGGTCACTCTTTTAACCAGCCATTATACTTGTATCCACATACAACTTACCATTGTTGCTAATGTAGAAGTCAATCAGTAACCTCAATGAAAGGGAAAAGTTGGAAACTTGAAAAAATTCCTTTTCAAATGTGTTGCAACTGTATCAAAAGCAAAATGCAAATACAGGCAGCATAGATTTGAGATAATCCACAATGTATAGCAGGTTACCTGCTTGTTTGGGCATTATGCCAACTGCAATGACTCTATCTACCAGCAAATACAACACTTGAATTATTGCAAAATCTCTGTTTATGTATTCAAAAAAAATATCTTTAAGATGTATTATTTTTTGTTAATACCATCAAGGCATATTTTAATTTCTTGCTAAAGAGTATATCTGTAAGATGTTACACTAAATTTACCTGTTGCTATCAGAATTACAAAAATATTTGGCATATTAATTTAATTAAAAATTCATGAAATTCACCTATAGCTTTCCAAAACAAGCCACTCCTTTTATATTATTAGAACAAGTAAGAAAAGCAAAATTATCGCTATAAATTTAAATATTGTAAGTAGTTTTGATGTATCTTATATACACAGACAGCTAGAGAGGTTTACAGAAAATTCATATTTCATGCAGCTTGACACAGTCCATGGAATAATTTATTTCATAATAAATGACAAACTTACAGTCAAAAAAATTTCATGAATTATTTGTGTTATTTTTTAAAGGAAAGAAATTGCATTCCTTGATTGAAAATGTCAGAATGTAGAATACACTAAAAAATCATAAAGAAAACTGACAAGAACAAATAATAACAATTAGCAGAATATCAGTTGCTGTGGGTACCTGTTAATACCTGTAACTATGGGCCTGTGATATACTAAATATGCTTATAAAATAACAACACTGAAAATACACATTTCCCACAAGAATTAAGATGTGAATTTTTTTGGAATACATGTACATGAAGTACACAACATTCTTTTAGCAAAATAACATTTTCTTTTATACATGAAAGAAAGAAACCCATAGAAAGCTACAATTTTGAATAAATTGCTTTTAAGCATAAAAATTAAGTTTCTGGTTGTCCCTAACAACCAAAAAGTAAAGTTCTAATGCTCTAGCAACACTACCTACTATGATCTGCATATATGCCATATCCATGCAGCCATATCCAAAGACAAAGACATAAATAATGCCCCAATTTAAAGCTAGTTTAGCTGGAAAAACAGCAATTCTAGAACATTCTAGGAAATGATCAACTAATAAATGTCACTCAATATATGTATAATAATATAGTGAATATATTAAGAATGACAAACAGTATGCTGGCTGCTGACATTGGCTGGCATATCCCAAACAGAATACAAGTCAGTAATACTAGTGAAGGATAGGCTGGCCAATTGTAATGTGGTTTAAAACAAGATACATATCTAAATGTATAACCCTAACCTAACCCTGTATCAATAACAGTAGCACTCTATGCTGTATGGAACAGCCGAAGGTTATTCAGTACAAATAAAACTGAACATAGATTTTTTTATGAAATTACTACTTATGTCATTATAATTACTCCATTTCAGTGCTAAATGACTTAAAACTTTGGTATTTTTGGTGGTGTACAATACAATATTCAAAACATGAAAATCAAACAAAAGATGTATTCAAATACCAGAGAGGTAATATCATATTTAACATATTCATATTATCATCTCAATAACATAATAAACCAATAGTCTGATTTAAAAACATGCAGGTAGAGCAGTATATATTACCCTAATATCATACCTATATACAGTATATATAATTATATAATAATAATAATTATTATTATTATTATAATTATATATATATATATATATATTATTATCATATATATTACACCCTAATATCAGCCAGGAAACAGTTGCAGTATGTTTTGGAAAAGACATGTATATATCATGTAATCTGAGCACAGAGTTTTGTTAAAACTCCAATATGTGACAGTTGTTCACATTGAAAATAAAAAAGATAGGTTACTGTGCTCTTTTACTTTATATCACACTACACCTTACTAAAGGACAGAACATACGATGGCCAAGTGAAGACTATGACGAGTTCCAAGAATACCACTAAATCATGACCCTACATATATTGGCAATATTTTGCTAAATCATAAAATCTTTTCAATGTTAATTTTGGAGTCTGAATATTTCCCTGCCATCTTATGTTATGTGCAGAAAGCGTATGCACAGGGCAATACTACAGAATTATCAAATCAAGCAAAACTATACAGTCAGGATTTAGAAAAAATACAGCAAAATATGTTTCTTAGTGTAAATAAACTAGTTTACAGTGATAACAGAAAACAGCATCCATTAATAAACTTTCATTGACCTTTCAATTCTTAATTATCTGAAGTAATTTTCAAAGTTTATGTTTGCATTTATCAAATCTGTTTTGTTAGTTCAAATCATGCTGCATCATAGAACTCCCAAATCAATGTCAATTACCAACAATTATAATAGTGAAATCAACTATTTTAAAATTAATACTCAATCACATACACAATAAGAAAATTTTAGGACCAAATTATAAAATACTTAATTTGTTGCTCAAACTGAACATCATGCTCCGGGTAATTAATATCTATACATGGGATGCAAACACATGAAATGATCATAAATATAATATATTAATGTTATCCTACCACAGCAGATTTGACTTGAACATCTTTGTTCATCAAATGAGTCTTTTTAATCCAAGAAGGTTTCAACATAATTTCTCAATATTTATATGTCTGAATGCTCACTTGACTCTGATGTAGTTATCGTGAATGACAACAACTTTTGATCAACCATGTGACTAAGATTAACATATAAATGTTGTTTTGTTTACTTTTTGATGAAAGAAAACTGCTTCCATCTAGGCTGAAGAAACACAACACAAAGGCATTTCAGAAACTTCATGCTAATAATGTGATCAAATGGAATTACTTAGAGTGTATCGTTAAGAAACTTGGCAAATGAGTTAACTGTAATGAAAAACAGACCTGATATATAGCATTGTGTCAAAAAAGAATATGGTGCATGCATTTCACCCATGTCATTGGAACCATGTCTTTTTCCAAGCTAGTAGATACAATATAACTGTATCAAAAGTGGTAAGTAAATGTAAACAAATGTAAACGTTAAAGAAAGGCCTATCGATGTTTATTTATTCTGAATATATATCCAACAGGTTGGAAAATATTTTTTGAGAGATTTCGGACACAAACTCTTATAATATTTGAGATTTCTGTGGTTCAAATATTGGTGTTTTACTTCAGTGATTAGGYTAAGGAAATCCTAACTGCATAAGTTTATACAGTTTATACTGTAAATCTGAGCAAAATCATACATAATATAGCGGTTTATGCAATCAGTTACAAGCTATAATACCAAAGACAAGTTCAATGGTTGCTTTTATTTATCATTTGTCATTGGTTTATGCAATCAGTTACAAGCTATAATACCAAAGACAAGTTCAATGGTTGCTTTTATTTATCATTTGTTAAGATGCACCATTTGCTTTCCTCCAAAACACTGGACCACTAATGTTTACATGACTAAGTGGTACTGTTACTGATAGTGAAACAGGAGTTTTTTTTCACTACAGAAACAGTGATCAAGCTTTTATTTATGTGCACTAGCTCACATTTTAGTCAACCAGTCAAACATAGGATATCATGCAAAAACTAAATTCAATAATTATTATCATAATACAACCAAATGTGTCAATAGCCCCAGATAGCAGTAAAACTGTGCTTGAGGTCTTAAATATAAACGGACTAAAGCCAAAATTCCAATTTGATTTTAGGAAGATGTTCTCATGACAGTGTTTACCTCTTATATCTCCTTTTGCACTATATTATTGTAAATTGGTTATTAAGCCAAGGTTTGTTTTCAAGACCAATCACACAGTTTAATAAATATAACAATAATAAAAAAAGAATAACTTGTTTATACAAGCCTATTGCAGTAAAATTAAATTACAAGCTGGTACACCAAATAGATATATAGATAATAATTAATAAATTATGACACACAAATTCTTTTACGAAAGACAATTAAAGGAGAATATGAAATACTTGATATAAGGGCAGGGTTAGTTTTTGACTATCTGGACTGGCTTTGGGATGGTAAATAAATTATTTTTTCTATATCCTTTTCACTTGGTTTCATAAACAATTGTTGTTTAGTAATCCAGTATCTCAGGGCTTAAGAAAACAGCCAGTCCAGGGCTTAAAATAACGGCCAATCAGTCATGGGTCATTATCACAGGCCAAATATGTTTTAGCTTAGTTATACCTTATTTCTGGCTAAACGTTACTGGTCAAAATGACTGGAAAGGCAAACATTTGACCAGACATTGTACCAGGTCCAGCCAATATTTTAAGCCCTGCCAGTCATCGAACAAAGTCGAACCATAATTGGGTCTTTTCCAGTCTTGTGAAAATCTTTGCCTTGTGGGTCATTGTGACCAGTAACATTGAGCCAGGTAAAGTATGACCAAGCTAAAACTAATTTGGACCAGCCAATATCTCAAATCCTATATCCCAGGACACTGAACATTGGTCAGGGATAGCAAATACCACTTGCTCCCACAGCCAATCAGAACACCGATTTTCAGGATACTGGATTGAAAAATAATGAATGTATATACAGTACAACTACTATTCTTTGATATCCTATAAAAAGCATCGAAACTATTTGTTCAAGGTCATCAGTAGTTGTAATATCAGGAAAAAGCATAAAACAAATTACAATACCTTATGRATGGTTTTGCACTGACATTCTAGCTAGTTAAAATGAAAGTGAACATCCTTATTAAAATCAATTAAACGTAAATAATATTAATGCTTTAGCTAGTTTCCAGTCTTGTTATATAATGCGCACAACTGCTGAGTTCAGTCAAGAACTTTTGTTGTAATTTACATTGCTCGTTTCACAAAAATTTAATTTTTTTTAGRATTGTGAATCAGCAAATGCAGGAGAATAAAGTTTGATGCTGGTTGCAAAAAGACATTTAATAAAGTATACAGCCCATTAATATATAAACTCATAAAATTTTCAAAGTGTTGACCACTTTTTTAAAATAAAATGTACACCTATGTATGTATGTATGTATGTACACCTATAATTATTAAGCTTTTTATTAAGCATTCAAAAATATTCATAATTCATATAATGATCATTTTTCTTCTGAGTCGCGAATTTGGTAACCTATAAAGAGTGCCAACTCAACTGTAGAATACTATAAACACTACCACAAATAAAATAATTATCATAAACTGCAAACGTTTTATTCCCTGGCAGCTAAGGGGAAAATATATAGAACACCAAAAAAAACAACAAAAATATGCAACGAAAACAATCATTCATATATAAATATTACAATTCTGACGAGTTTTTTCCATAATTTGCTAGCAGAAATCCTCCATTGAAACTTGAAGTGTTGGATATTTGAAGTCGTGTTATAGCTCAAAGCTCTCTCAAACACTATAAATGTGTATATAAAAGGAAAAAGCCAAATTGCATACAAGAAATAGAGAATTTGTCATTTCGCCTGGGAGATGAAGTCAATGATAAACAACGAGAGAGAGAGAGAGCTTATTCATTTGCGTTTAAAAATATGGAGGAAAAGCGAGGAAAATTCCAGCAAAAGAAAACTAAAATGATTTAAGCTAAAACAAAACATTCCAGTGTGAAAAAAGGCTTTATTTTTTCTCTCCAAGAAACAGAACGGTAAAAACCCTTAGTATGTATAATTACGTCTATATTTCTCTTAGTTATATCAAATGAGTTTATGTGAAATTTGTGAGCAACAAAATGGCTTTTACACTTTCCTCGAATCGTATCACCGCTTCGACTCTTAACAAAACAAAGTGTCCGAAAGCTAACGAGAGTCGATTTGAGGCGATTTAAAAGTCGATTTACAAAGCATTATAATTCTTCTTTCAGCTCCCTACTGCTTATATGCTAAAAAAAATAAACTCATAACGCATCGTTCCCAAGCACAGATCAAGGCAGGCCGTTTAATAGCATATAAACACTTCGATTCATGACACCAAATGATCAAGTTGTAAGAAAAGCTTTCAAATAGGACCCATTTTTTTATAGTAAAATACGCATAATAACGAACGAAACGTTCCAAGGTACCATCTTAGTTTTGGATCAAACCACCAAAACGAAAATGATTATGCAAAAACGTTTTAAAATCTGACTAYTTCGACCTGAACTGTGTCTGAGGAGGATGTACACACACATTAAAATATGCAAGCTCTTGCGAACTACTGGATTGAGCACATAAAACCAACTTGTATGTACCCAAAAAGAGTCAGTCGCTTTAACTTACCTTAAGGATACATACTTTATTRTATTTAACATGAATATATGGCTGTATGCGTACCTTAAAACCATCCGAACCACCAACTCGACCAGAGCGTTCGTTGTACTGATGCCATCTCTGAACAACGACGAAAAAACGATGTTACTGAACTTTCGAATTCACAGCCAAAATTACRACCAAAATAAGAAGCACTTATCATTCTCTAAGGCAAAAAACACTTAATTCGGCGAAGTATATGGGCATAAAGGTTGGTAAGAAGGCCCCAAAAAAACTAACCTGGATATCAGAAGGAGTTGAAGATACAGTAGAAGCCTGATCACCACCAGAGAGACTATCAAGTTCGACGTCTTGGTCCCTTACGGCGATTTGCCGCGCCATTTGATGACTTTGTAAAAAATGTTCATGCCATGGGAAGAAAATATCGCCGCAGATCGAATACAACAAAATAAATCTTTGAACCAATAAATATATGGTTGGAAAATCCTAAAGAAATAAGCATCCAACAATCAGTAGACACCAAAGGCAGATGGCACAAGTTTTGCATTCCGTGACGTCAACCTTGACGATGATTGGCCGATTACTGCTTGCCTCGATGTCGCATCACCTAGTTCCTTCATAATCAAATAGACAAAGGTTTTTTTTTTACAATACCTATCCTGCATTAACTATTTCCACTATGCATTATTACATGCCAAACTTTTGAAAAAAGAATAAATAAATGATCAGTAAGGAAAGACGGGAATCCCGTTTCTTCCTATCACACTTACAAGAAAACTGAATGTCATGTAKGTAGAAATGTTTTTTTTCGAAAAATGAACTTTATTTAGTATTTAGAAACTTTTATTAGTAACAATATACACGATCAATTATAATAACATAAAGTTAAATAAAACAAAGCTAACTCACTAAGAGTAACTCATTAACTCGTTATGAGCGCAGGACGTGAGGCAGGTCAAGCAAACTAACGAAGCAAACTAACGAAGCTATGGTCGCAAGAGGGCTAGAAAACCGCTAGGGGAAAAAATATCCACTTTAGGAAATTTTAAATATATATACGAGTGTTTAGAGTTCTGTACTTTGTACTTCACAACGGTGCCTGGATATCCGATGTGTAAACTTCCTATTTTTTCCATCCAATCGAAGCCTGTATAATTCATCTTTCATACGTCGGTACCCCGATGCATAATTTCTGTTCAGTTTTTATTTCTCATAGCATAGATGGGTGAATGGTGCCTTTCCAGAGTGGATGCTGCGAATCTGTCTTCCAGCTCAATCAGTGGTAGCTAGGGGACTACCAAAAAGATGTTGCTTTAAAACTCAAACTCCACATAACCGCTAACCAGAAAAAATGCATGAACTGGTTCCTTTTCTCTTTTCACTAACCTACAAATTTAGAACGRACGGACGGACGGATGGACGGACGAACGGACGAATAAAAGAAACCTGACAAATAAACCAACACTGAATAAAACCAACAAGGACGTCATTTAACTGAGTGGAACAATGGCCAGCAAAGGTGTATTGGTGTAACAAGCCAATCAGTAACGATTTGACTTGACGTACACATAAATTGGTTGTTAGAAGAAGATCGACAATGAAAGAGAGGGGAAGGCTAGACACCCATACCATAAAATAAAAWAAATACTTGTCGGTGTAATTCACCATATTCCATACATCTGCAAAAGCATTTTAGACCTTCACGTGGCTTGGATGGCCACGGTTATGGCGGTCCCGTCCCTAATAAACTAGAGATGTTAAAATGTAAGCATCTAGAGGGTAACACCTAATGTTCCCCGCCTTAATTGTGAATAATACACCTTTGTATTTTGTATTWAAAAAAAAAGAAACAAACAAACAAAAACATGTATGTAAACATCTAGAGGGTTACACCTAGTGTTCCCCTCCTAAATTGTAAATAATACACCTTTGTATCTTGTTGTATTTTGTAAAATAAAATAAAAAAATACAAATACAAAAACAATAAAAACAAAACAAAAAAAAAAGAGATGTTAATATAAGAGGAACACGAGTTTATCAGTTGAATTACTGTCAAGCGTTATCCTCTATAAACAAAGTTGGTAATTTAAAGAAAAACTAGCGTCAAATATTGAAGAAATTTTAACTCTCAGAAAAAAGTTATCAGTACCTTCGTTTGTACATGGCGTCATAGCCAACATATTGGAACAATTTGACAAAATATTTAACATTTTTAGTGGATTCCTTTGTTACTTCTTCTAATTCCATCCAGTCTTTTGTTGTTGTTGTTGTTTTCTTCACTCCCTTGGCAATGATTGCAAACCAAGAAATAGTTAAACCTTTGTTTATTCCAATCACTTTATTTAATAACAGTTTAGCTGAAATTTTACAGGTCATCAAAAATATTATCTTATTTCTTGCAAAAACTTCAAATTTCAATTCTAGGGAAAATCCTTCCAGTTCAAAACGATACGTTTTCTCTTTTYGTATTACAATAAAATAGGCCCTTTGCAGCTCAGTAATTAGGTGCTGATTAATTCAATGAGAGCAAATGAATGAACATCTTGATTCCCACGGGTAAAGTATACTGGTGAGCAAACAGACTTTCTACAACCTGTTTTCGAGAGATCGTAATAAAACTGCATTTCGTAACACACTGGTTACGCATCGTTTCATTCAATTCTTCACAAGTAGCTAAAAAGAATAAACAATTCAAAATAAAATAAAAAATTTGCTCACCAGTAAAAACATGACCGTTAACTGCAAAGGGCCTATTGAGCTACTGAGAGGTTTTTGTGGCGTCCATGGCATCTCATTCCTTGGCGTCATGAAAGACGATCAGCGCCAGTGATGCAAATGACAACAGGAAATTTTACATGTGCTTCTAAAATTTAGACCTTATTCACAAATCTATGCTCTTTATGATCCTATAGAGGTTTTGCAGCATCACGTGCCCACGCCCATAATACAGCTTGGGCGGCATGTAGTTGGATGGTAGAACAATAGAACCCTTTTACTTTAAGAAATTGAATCTTTTCTTATGTAAAACGATTGTATTGTTCCTGCCATCTAACATGGCTGCCGTCATGTGATGGTGCAAAATGACCTCTATATATTGGCGGACTGGCCGGTATCGCAAGTGCGTGCTGTGTGTGACGTGGTTAAGAATGGCCCAGGTAACAAACCCGGCAGTTATTAAAATATAGCCTGTGCACTGATATATGCTTTCACAAATTATGTTTCTGATAATGTACAACAAAGTCTGCTGTATAAAAGATTCCGCAGATCGACAACGTGATGAGCACATGTTGCCACCATAGGTATTTTTGTGAACCTCACTTGGTTTTGGGAGCGCTTGCTAAGATGTAAAGATTACATGGTCCTTGTGGGTCGTGAGTAGGCTTACTTTCCACCACAGCTATGCTGTCTGCACCAAGCAGTCGAAACGTTCTCTTTTGGTCATTCATCTCAACGCTCACCTAATCAAATCAAATAGAAGATTATTCTTACGAGATCTATTAACCTATCTTTTTTAGACACTGCCTATATTTTAGGAATATTTGTGTCAACATTTTATAATCATGCACACCGATACGTTTCTTGTATCAATTCTCGTGAGATTCGTACCTGGCCCGTGAGAAGACTTCTACCTTGAAGGCCATGTTCATGAAATCCGAGTACGCTACCCTGTAAACAAACTGATAGTACAAATATAAGGGTCCGTGAAATCATCAAGGGAACAAGGGTCCGTGAAATCATCAAGGGTACAAGGGTCCGTGAAATCATCAAGGGTACAAGGGATCATGAAATCATCAAGGGTACAAGGGTCCGTGAAATCATCAAGGGTACAAGGGATCATGAAATCATCAAGGGTACAAGGGACCATGAAATCATCAAGGGTACAAGGGACCATGAAATCATCAAGGGTACAAGGGATCATGAAATCATCAAGGNTGAAATCATCAAGGGTACAAGGGACCATGAAATCATCAAGGGTACAAGGGATCATGAAATCATCAAGGGTACAAGGGTCCGTGAAATCATAAAGGGCACAAGGGTCTATGAAATCATCAAAGGTACAAGGGTCCGTGAAATCATCAATGGTACAAGGGTCCATGAAATCATCAAGGGTACAAGGGTCCGTGAAATCATCAAGGGTGCAAGGGACCATGAAATCATCAAGGGTACAAGGGTCCATGAAATCATCAAGGGTACAAGGGACCATGAAATCATCAATATAAACATAAAACAAACGACAATAAAAGTCGTAACACAAAAAGTAATTCATACCGACAGATTCTGGTTTCACATCAAAACGAATTTCAGAAACACCACGTTTCGTCTGCTTTGGTCTTCCTTCCAAATTGACAAACCTGATGATGTCTGTAGAAAGATCAAAGTAACATGCTGGACATAAAACCCAATGCATGAACAAACCTTTTTAACTACTAATTATACTTACTGTCAGCGCAAATAAGAATGGTTTCTTTTTCTAGCTGATCAAAATGGTCTACTGATAGCTTTTTGCCTGAAAGGAATAAAACAACAAATACATTTATATCACAAATAAGAATATATAAAACCTTCCAAAACATATTTCGTTTCTTTCCCGGTTACACTTTAGAATATATATGTTATTAGTTGTAAATTCTTTTCTTTGTCCATTCCCCATTTGACTTTGGTAATTTAGTAAAGCTGTTTACTGCATAAGAATCACTACCATGTGCAAGTTACAGAGAGGAGTACGGAAGGACAGCTAATAAAATGACAAGCTATTTCAGTTTCCTTTGTACTTTATTCAACTGATTACAGAGAAACTAACAGTGCGGATACACGGTGCCATGTCACATGCGACGGTACTTGTGACGTCGCTTGCAACATGTGACATCCAAAAAACCAGCCTATTTCATGCAACGTTGCAGGCGATGTCTCATTGTATATCCGCACCTTAACAGTCAAATATAGATCGATGAAGATACAACAAACAAAGGAAATTAGGTATTTGTACCCGTGACGGTGCTTGTTTTTTTTTAAAGCATGGATGCTATCATCCTTCCAACAAATTGTTATTTCTTACCATCTTTGTGTTCTGTATACCAGTTGGATGTTGAGTTAAGATTTACGAGATCAAAATTTAATGCCCGTTCTGACCTGGTAAACCAAAAAACATATGAACATGAAAATAAAGAACACATATACCTACATATAGGACTGTATGATGTACAAAGATATTAAATGCAGTCACTTACTTTTCCTGTATTCCTACTACAATGAAGGGGTAATCCATATCTGGCATGACCAGTGTCTCAAACAATGTGAGAGGCGAAGGCAAACGAACCTCGTACATCTGCAGGTTAAAAGAATACAGCCAAAATTGCTTCTTAGCTGGAACCCATATTTTTTCTCTTGTACGATAAACAGCCTTTGTCCCCCGTAACGATACATTATTTGTAAATGTTTTACCCTTTTGAAGGCTYGTAACCCTGGTTCTTTTTAATGAAGCACGTTCAATTTCACAGACTAATATTGAGATGCTTTATCACATGACAAAACTCTTTCGCTAATTAGATTAAAGATTCAAAACTCGACCCAGTCTCTTGCTCGTTTTTAAAATGACCAATCACACATGAAGTTACGTCGCATTATATATTCTTTCTGAAGTAAATGCTCAACATATCACATACCGATGTGTAATGTAATGTACCAAATATATAATGTACCAACATGATTACTTACATTGACTTTCATGAATTTTCCCAAAGGTTCATACCACTGCATTAGCAAGATGCCATTTGGTAAAGCAACACACAGGTATAGTTGACCGTTATAGGGGTTATTAACTATGGGAATAATACAATAATTATTTGATTGCAAAAACAATGAAYGTTCAATTTAAATATTCTCCATGTTATGATAACAAGTTATATGGAGGCCTATTTTATGTATTTAGATGTGAGCCAAAAAGAGATGATTCAAGATGACCTTACCAATACAACATTTTGTGCATCCTCTGGTCTCTGCAATCCTTTGTGAATAAACAACGCCTCTGTATTCAAAGTAAAAATTCTTATCATACTTTAAGATCAGATCACGGTAGGGTGTGGTGGGTTATCACAGATCGTGGTAGGGTGTCGTGGGTTACCACAGATCATGGCAGGGTGTGGTGTGTTATCACAGATCATGGTAGGGTGTGGTG